GTAATTGTCTTTTGTTTTATATACGAGTCTGAAAATCTGTTTTATTTCTACATACTGATAAATCATTATATAAGTTACATGTTTTAATAAAAGTTTTAAAATTTTCGCTATTTTTTACAGTGGGTCGCTCCGGTGGCCCTAATGTGACATTCCGGATCGGATCAAGTTATCCATATCGGTCTGAGAGGGTTACAGAGTATCTTGGAGCTTCTCCGCCTGATTTCAATAGAGGTTGTATATCTTTATCATGGCTAAAAGCCAATTTTGAAGATTTGAGTGAAAATGCTTCTGAGGATGAAGCAAAGGCTTGTGCTCGAGCATATATATTACGAATCATTGGAGGAATATTGATGCCCAAAAAATCTCTCAACCAGGTGCATTGTATGTGGTTCTGTCATCTTATTGATTTTGATGAAGCAGGAAGATACAGTCGGGGCACCGCAGTTTTGGCATTTCTCTTTAGAGAAATGTGTCGTGCAACTAATTATAGTAAAACTGCTATCGATGGATGTCCCTACTTCTCCAATCATGGGTGTGGTTCCACATGCATTTCTTATGCCCAATCGTTAATGATCCATATGTATTCCCGTTATTATTAAAGTAATTTCAAAACTAAATTTTGATTTAAATATTTTTTAATTAATAATGACATAATGTTTATATTATATTAAGTAGGTGGTCGATGAGAAGAAAGAATCATAGAGATATCTCTAGTGAACTAGAGGATATCCGTTTAATTATTGATAAAAAAGATGGGTCTGAGGTACGTCTTTAAATATGAAGAATTTAATTTAAAATGTTTGATATAATTAAAATATTTTATTAATAAGAATTATTTATTTATGTTTCAGTTTCAGTGAATACCTTATGTGAGCGATGAAATAAAGACTTGCATCTCACCCCACTTGAGTGGGCCATTAGATGTTTGGATGTTGGTTGTGTCTCTGATATGTTATGCTATTGTTGAGTTGAATCCGATTGATCGAGTGCTCCGTCTGTTTTGTTGTACGCAATATATTCCTAAAGCACCTATCAATTTAGACAATATGCATAACCGAAACCCTTTACCTAATAAATTATCAAATTCTAATAACCCTAAATCACTATTACCTTTAACCCTAAACCAAAACCCTAATTCAAAACCATGTAAAATACACGTTCTCACAAAAAAGCTTTCGAAAGGCGCCCCTGAAATGCTCTTTTCACGTGGCGCCACACTAATTAGAAGGCGCTCCCCCTAAAAAACGCCTTACCTCCACATCAGTAAATCCCGCGAAAGCACCCCGGAAATGTGCATTTGCTCCTTATCAGCCGAAGGTTTGCTAGTTTGGGAAATATTGGAAAATTGATGGGAATATTATATATTTAGGGTGATATTTAGTTAGAAAAGCCCTCATATACATATAAAACCTGTGCATCACTGTAGAAGTCCAGATATGTAATGGACCATCCATTCAGTTTAACTAATATGAGGTTAATTATTTCGATAAATATGACAAAAATAAAATCAACTGTTTTGGCCAGTTCCTCTTGTAATGATGACATCAAGACAATACTGTAATCTTTTGCCAGAAGTAAACAAAATTTAAGTCTCCACCATTATTAATTAATGCACGCTCTCTCCAGTGAAACACAGTTAAAAATTATAACCCATCTTATTACAAGCCAACACCAAAAATATCTAACATGTCTTCAACTCAAACGGCTTGAAATGAGTCTAACGTTACATATTTTTATTATTATTTATCTATCATTTATCACTTGAATATTAATGATTTATCTTTATTTAGAGTTTATTTTAGACAATAACTTTATAGGATTAATTAAGTTAAAAATTAGTAGATTTCGAAGGTCCATTAAGCATCTTAAAGAAGACAAACATTGCTTCCTTGAATATTTAATATGAAATTTACCTAGCACAAGGTTATCCAGAAGATGAAGAAGAATTTAATCAGAAGAATTAAATATATATATTTTATGATGAACCATTTTAGTTTAGGGTTTTTAATTTGATTATTATATTATTATTTTATTTAAGAATTAGTTATTTTATTAGGACTTTTAGTTTGATTATTTTAGAAATTAGTTATTTTATTTATTTAGAACTATCGGGTTATAAACACTCTTTAGGTTTAACAGTTAAAACTCAGATTGAAATTTATTTTCTTGTGTTATTTATTGAAGTTATATTTTTCTTTCATCTCTATCTTTCTTTCTTTCTTTTCTTTCATTATTTTCTTTTCACAATGCTAAGCATGATCAAATTCATGTTTGGCTAAACTGCTACTTAGCCAAAGGATTTTGAGAAACTCAATTCCATTTGTGAGAATTGAATCTTGATCTTCATACATTCAGATCATATTCTTAATTGTCTGGAAATTGGGAGTGATAATCAATCATTCTCTTAAAAGTTATTACATCTTCAACTCAGAAGGTACACGTTGATTCGAAAACTGTTTTGCTTGAAGTTTGGAAGTCGGATCGGTTGTTCGTAATTTGACTTCCTGTGAACAAACTTAGCGGCGGTCTATTAAGGGGAATCAAGACCGAATTCGATTATCGGTAAGACATTATAACTCGAGTTAGGCTTTTCCAAAATTTAAAGTTATTTTAGATCTAACGGCGGTAAACGTGGCTAGACCAACAAAGATCGGATTTTAGAGATAGACTTGAAAATTTCGATTAACCAAAAAGAAGAGTTAGCTGTAGGGATTGAGCCTTGTTGACTATAACCGACATACATCCCGAAGGAAAACTTTTATTTTGATGACAGATCGAAATTGAGGGTAAGCAAAACATGAGGCTATATCATATTTATTTAATTCTTCTATTTTATTTATTTTTCTCATTATTATTTTTATTCAATATTTATTTATTTATTTTTAATTTATTTTCATTAATTTTGAATCTCCTATTTATTTTCTTACATTTGATTCAATAAAAACAACAACATTATCAAACTTCCTTAGTCACTGTGAATCGACCATATTTCTCTTTATTTATTTATTTAAGAATTATAAATTATTTTTATTTAGCAAATTTGACGCTTGTCAAGGTTTTTGTGTGTGTAAACTACTATGATGAAATTTATATTTTAGTAACCGAATTCTTGAATTATTATGTTTTGATCACTTGCTATCAAATAATTAAAGATGTCAAAGTATTAATTAATCAAACTTTAAAATGAATTTTATCGATTTTGAGCGAATTTTATGGAAAATCAATCTTAGGAGAAGTAGGAGAGAAATACAAAAGTTTTTGTATTGATCTTACAGTGAAATATGATCGTTGATTGATAGTGATTGACTGTCGATGACGATGGAAAATTACAATATAAAAAAGTAATATGTTTAAATATTTAGTGATAAAATCGATATACTCATTAAGTTTAGGGCCTAAAACGACTTAATTTTAGATATCAATTGTCATAACCAAACGACATCGTTTCAATGTTATAAGCCACATCATCTATCATCGGTAATGTCATCATCCCGTTACTAATTTAATTTAATACTAAAATTTAATATTATAGTTGATAACATTAAAATTTTACGGATATCAATGAACGAGTGGATTGAACTTCAATGGTGTCTGAATTAGTTTACTCTAAAGCTTACAATTTCATAATGATACTTATGATCTAACACCAAGATAATAAAGAATAAAATAATTTAAAATTTTAAAGAAAATTTTAAAAAGAATTAATGATTTAAACAATATTTCAGACTTTAATCATATTAAAAAATATGAGCCTAAACTAATAGAATAGTATTATACATAGAGATCTCTGGAAAAAAGTCTAGGAACAGAGACTTTCTCCAAATTCATCACATCAGCAGCAATGATTATAGTACTTTCCTGTTAGCCTCGGTGAACCGCATTAAATGGAGAGTTTGTCATTAGGTTTCCAGTTAGCAAGCACCGAGTAAAAAATATAATAAAATCTGGAACTTTGTTTTATCCAACCATTTTCATTACAATACGATTCACCAGTTTCTCTCACATTTTGTCTTGTTAAAAAGGTAGAGGACATTCCTTACATGGAAACATGCTTAAGCTTTTAACTGGTTTAATTGAGGTTTTGTTTGAATATGCCCAATATCTTTTACTATTTCAGAAGTTATTTCATTCACTGATCTGACCCATCACACAAGAAAGAAAGTTTGTTGCCTATTTATAGGTTCCATTAGAGTCATCCTTTAAACTAATAATGGTAAGAAAAGCTGAGGAAGGAAGAAAAATTTTCTTTTATGCATCCCATTTCTGACACATACAGTGATGTGTATGTAAATGCTTATATACATGTACATACATCAGGATTTTACGTTTTTACTGTTCAGGATGGTGAGATTAAGGGAAAAGAGTGAATACCCTTTTTACATTTGTGTGTAAACAATTATACAGAATCTTTGTTTCTAATAATGGAGATCAGAATTCAGAAAATGAAGCTAGATGAAAGAGACATGCATATGGTAAATTCTTTGGTCAATTTCAGGTGGTTAACTGAACCCTAGGTTAAAACCCAATCTTCAAGTTAAAAAATAATTATATAGGGACTGATATAATTTGATAGTAGGGGGGCCTGTTTTGTCAAGTTTCTGTAAATTTTTCTGGCTTTGAAAAGAAAGGTGTCTTGGACCTACACAACCCCAAGCTTACACACATCACATTATGAGTCTTTCTTGTCAATGTAGAGAGGGACAGCCTTAGAACCCTCATGCCCATCAGTGAGAGAGAGTGAGGGAACTTACACACGTGTGAATGATGGAAGGGACAATGGAAATTTAATGATATTGGGGGGGGGGACTAGTTAACTACTTCAAGGCTTAAATTACTGTTTTTTAGTTCATTTCCTTTGTGGGTTTTCTCTTACACACACAGAGATCGCCCCTCCATCTCGTTTGGCTGTTTCAGTTTTGATCTTTTTCACTTTTTCCCAGTGTTTCACTGTTTGTCAAACTGGCTCTCGGTCTTCTCTCTCCTTTGTTTTTTTGAAATTTATCTGATGCATGTGTATGACTTTGTAACAGTTCTATAACAGCATTTGTCAGGGAGAGGAAATGAAGGCATGGTTAACAAGTGTGCTGTTATATATGAACCACCACAAGACAACATGAATAATGGACTAAGCTGTTGCTCTTCCACTATTCCTTCTTCTTCTGGTTCTTCAATGGGGATGGGTTATCCGGAAATGGATTCGCTTTCTCTCGGTCCAAAATACGGTGATCAAAGAGCTCCTTGGGATTTTAGTTTCATGGGGGACTGTAAAGCAAGGAGCTTTGCGGAACACCATAGCTCTGATGTCGTGGAAGGTCAAGGTTCTGATTGCAGTGATGCGTTTGGTGAGAACAGTAAGACCATTATTAATCTGAACACCAACTTAAATGAAGAGAACCCCAATGAGAATGCTGTAAGTGGCAAGGAAACAGATAGTGGACATTCAAAGCTTTGCGCCAGAGGCCACTGGAGGCCTGCAGAAGATACTAAGCTCAAGGAACTCGTAGCTCTTTATGGCCCTCAGAACTGGAACCTTATAGCTGAGAAGTTGGAAGGAAGATCAGGTAAGATAGTGACCAAAAAAGGTATTCTTTACTTCATTAAATACTCATCGGAATTTTTTGTTTCATTGTGGTTGAAGGTAAGAGCTGCAGGCTCAGATGGTTTAATCAATTGGACCCTAGGATCAACAGAAGAGCGTTTACTGAAGAAGAAGAGGAGAGGCTAATGCAAGCTCATAGACTATATGGTAACAAGTGGGCAATGATAGCTAGGCTATTCTCTGGAAGAACTGATAATGCAGTGAAGAACCATTGGCATGTGATTATGGCTAGGAAGTATAGAGAACAATCGAGTGCCTACAGGAGGAGGAAGCTGAGCCAATCTGTTTACAAGAGGATTGAAGAAACTCCAAACTTTGTCTGCAGAGATGCAGCCACAGAAGTTGAACCACCACCAGCCCCATACTGTCTCAACATTCCCAATAGAAGACTTGGAACCATCTCCCAATACCAGTTTGGAACCTTCAATGGTGATGTTTCACCCCACATGACCAGTGGGCGAGAAGCAATCCCAAGCAGCGAGGTCCCTCGCTATGGCTTTCCTCCACAACAAGCACCTTTTGATATCTTCCCTGGTGGGTCTCTCTGTGTGTTTTGCTTCCTAGCTTCCTTTGTTATACTATGCACAGTTATATGTGGTATTTGGGTATTTGTGTTGTTTCTCATTGGTTTCCTTTTGGAAACCTACCTCGATTTCCTTACTACAACTCCTTGATGATTTTTGTATTTTAAATTGTTCTTTTACTTTACAGACATTGACTGATGTAACCGTTTTCCTTCACCTTTCTCCTTTACATGCCCCTTTTTAACATTACAATCACGTTTTGTCATTGTTTCTCTACATTGTAACTGGTGCGTTGAACTACATTTGCAGCAAGTCTCAAGAGCAATGACATGATGGGTATGTTCAACCAGACCAGATCTTGGGACAGGCCCATAGATGAACCCCAATGCTATGGTTTCTATCCCCTCCACCACCAGGGTACCTCAGCACCAACAACTCAAATTTCAGGCAGTGAACCTTCATCATCAATGGCAGCAACAGGCAGCAACCAATATGAGACCGTTTCACCCACATTCATTGATTTCCTTGGAGTAGGAGCCATATGAAAAAGTTTTAGAAAAACAACCCAGATTTCAGAAATGAAGAAGAAAGGGGCTTCCAGTTTAATGTGGAAGCGCTCCAAGATAACCGAGAGGGCCGTTAAGAGGTAGAAGAGAAAGGTGACGATTTGATGAAACTGTGCATCAGTCTGTCCCATAAGTCGTACCCCCCTGCATCCTTTTTCTTGTTATCCTCGGTCTTTCCATAAGTTGAAAACAAAGCAGTAAAATTATAATTATGCCGATTGCCGGTTTCTTTATCGTTTTTCCCTATAAAAAAACCTGCATTGTCTATGGGGTTTTAAGTTTTAACCACTTCTATGAACCAGGAGGTAAAAGTCATTGCTGTAATGGAGAGGAACATACGAGTATGAAGGAATACTTTCTTAATAATTATTGATTAACTATGTTCGTTCCTTAATTTAAGGTTTCTTAATAATTTCGTAGTGGATAGAATCATTACAAAAGTATGAAGGAATACTTTCTATGATAAGAGGAACATACGAGTGACATGAATTCTTGTTTTTCATTCTTTCCGTATGATGGTGAAACAACAACATATGATGACGAGGTAAAGAGAGACAAAACAAGAAACCGAAACACGAAATAAAGACGCATCCTTTTGTCATGGGACTGCTGTTCAGGCACAAATGATGCAAACCAGAACAAAACTTCACCAACCTTTGTTTCTCCATTGCCGTCCTTCGTTTCCTTTCCCAGGATTCATGGTATCAACATGGGAACAACATTATATTGTTGCTAATCTTGACCATGTATTGCTGCTAATATTGTTATTCCTTGAAAGATGGTTACTTTACCACACGGTTAAAATTTGGAGTTTTAATTAAAAAATATTCCAGTTGACGATGAACAATAACAGCATAATTAGAGAATCAGGAAGGGATTTCACTGATTGGCAGACTCCGCTGTTTTCTGGCAAGCCCAATATCCATTTCTCTTTTCCTTGGTCTTTGGCATGTATTGGGCTACATGTACATCTTCATCAGCTATATAGTTTTGCCAATATTTTATCCAAATTCATCAGCTAGGTCCATCCTGATTTTAGTGTATGCTTGTGTTTTTGTAGATTCTTTTACCTCTTGTACTACTAATGCGCATGTTATGAGTTATTTCATGCATGTTATTTCCTTACAGAAAGGAAGACTATAGTCAAGCAGTTTGATTTATGTCATACTGATAACGCATTCACTGTTGGGGTTACCGTGCTTGACACTATTTCATCTGACTGAGCTTGTCCGTCATTTTTGTTCCCTCTTTTGCATATGAACTATGAGCTTGCCTGAGGAAACTGTTAGTAAGACACTTCTGAATAACCTTAATAGCATGGCCATATTCATCTTGTCTAATCATATGTTGATTTATAAGAATATTGTTTACTCGTGTTTTCCTTGTGTCTCTTTCTTGACAGAAGCAACACCAAACAGTGTGATGAGGATCAATGGGATTTCTGGACTCACTTTGTATCATCTTGAAAGCCATTTACAGGCAATTCAATCTTTCATCATATAATCATGTCAGTACAGTTAAGCTTAATTGGAAAAAGAAAAGAAAACAAAGCTTTAACTATTTTCTGCAGAAATACAGGCTGGGAAAGACCCGACAGACAGAATCCGACTTGGCAATGATGAACAAGATGGTGGACTAAAAGAATTCATTGTTTGTCGTATCTATATTCATATATTGAGTTTTAGAACATTATAGTTATATACCAGTTTCAGTGAATTGAAGCTAAGGGAAGTACTTGCAATCAGTTTTAAAGAAAGCACAAGAAACACTTATTGGATATAGCTCCTCTTCTGTTGGTGTAGAACTTTCCAAAGCTTAAACTTTCCTTCATGGGCTTTCACCAAGAAAAGAAGCCTTTGATTAGTGGTTCAAGCAATCAAGCTAATGGAAAAGAAAAGAAGTATGAATATCACTTTTTTGTAGTGGTTAGAAGGATTTTTTTTTGATTACCGACAACAAAATTCAAACTTCAACTAAATATAGTTAATTGGCATGTTCTTGAGGGTGCTGTTTCTTCACAGAATCACCTTGAATCATAAATTTTCCTGGAATATTCTTATGCAAGAAGGAAGATACAAAGATTATTCAAGTCAGAATCAAATTGCAAGGAATAGTTTGCACTAAAAGAAGTATCAATTTATTTATATTCATATTTGGAAAAGACAAGTATCTCTATGTACATGATTTCCCACAAAGATTAACGAAATTCAAAAGAAATTTGAATTGAAGGCAACAAAAGTTAAAAAAAAAAAAGTATCTGACACAGTACTTTTAGCCTTCCATTTCATGGTTGTCATCAGGCCTTGGACTTGCAGAGGAGACACTATTAGAATCAGCTGAAAGGACTTCATTTGAATCCCACTTCTCATACTATGGTTTAAAGAAAAACTAACCCAAATCTCCCTCCTCTGCCCATCTCTTCTTCATCAACGGGCATCTTATACTTACAAACGGGGCATGTCCCATGGATTACAAGCCACTTCTCTATGCACCCATCATGGAACTAGTGCTTGCAAGGATTCTCTTTGACCACCTCACCAGCCTTCCACTCTTCCAAGCAAACACACACTCTCCATCTTCACTTTCACCGATTCCCACTCGGCATGGCTTCTATGTATGCCTTCGAAGCAGGCTCCTTGTTAGCCTGACCACGTAACAAGCTTCCAAATTTGAATCCCCTTGGATCACCACCATGCCTTGAGTAAATGGATTGACGAGGACGATTCTTTCACGTTGGGATGTTTCTTGAAAGGGTCTTCACGGTTTTCTCTTGAAACGCTGTTATTATCACTGCCGTTGTTGGAGACACCCAAGATGAAAGGTAGAAAGAAATAGAGGTCTCTTTGCCTCCACAACTTTTCAAACAAAGAAGAAACTTCAGGTGCTTCTGTTTCAGAAGCCATGGATACTTGTGAATTGAGGGCGAAAAGAGAGACTTTGGAGGAAAGGAAAGAAGACAACATGATGAACAAAGGTATGAACTCTTTAAAAGTCTCGGGAAGAATCAATGAATGAAAAGAAGAGAGTTTTGGTTTTGGGAGATATTATATTAGTGTAATTCTCTACATTAATGAAAATTTTAAATTTTGGGCCTTGAAAACAGACTAGGTTCATTTTGAACATACTCTATGTTCGGCCTATTCTTCGGACCGAACCGAAGATGTTCCCCTCCGCGTAAAAGGTGTTGGAGGTTGAAACACAAACTCGTAAACAAAACCAGAAAAACTTCAGAAAAAAATATGCAGATAGGAGAGAGAGGACTCAAACAACCTGGTCTCTCCTCTCCAGGTTAATCCCAATTCGAAGGGAAAGAACCCTAAGATATTTCTTATTTTTTCCATTATAACCTTTTCTTTATTCAATTTCGGTTGAATTTCATTTTTTAATTGCAAGGAAACAAAGTTTGTCCAGTGGTTAACAATCATGCTCTTCCACCAAAGTTTGGTCTTTTGATGCGACGATCGCATGCCCGAAACCGAAAATCGACCACCGACCCACAAAAAATGGATCCAATAAAGCTCCAAATCCTATCCAAATCCCGATCCACTGCACTTTTCCCCCGAAACCCCCGTCAAACCAAGCCATTCCCTTCTTTCATCGCAGTTTCAATGGCCATTTCCCTTGCTTTGTTTGCTTTTGTTTACATATTATTTCTCCCCCAAATATTGCGTCAAGTACAGCATCATAATCGACGGTGGAAGCACGGGGACGAGAATTCACGTGTTAGGTACAAAGTTGACGAGGTCAGAAACTCGATTTTCGATTTTAAAGAAGGATTGGAGAGCTTGAAGGTAATCCGGGATTGTCGGCGTACGCTGAGGATGGAAGGAGTTGCAGATTCGTTGGAAGAGCTTTTGGAGTTTGGGAGGAGTAAAGTCCCGAAAAACCAGTGGGGAGAGACGAGATCAGGTAATGGCGACGGCGGGGCTGAGATTGTTGGATGAGAGCTTCAGGATAGGATTATGGAGCAGTGCAGGATGGTGCTTAGGGTGTCTGGTTTTAAGTTCCGCGACGTGGTCTTCCGTTATTACAGGTAACATAATGTGCTTTGCTTTGTGTGGGAAATTTTGACGTATTCAGAATGGGACATCAATAAGCAAGTAGTAAAGGTAGTATAACTGGAAGTTGATATGTTGCATGAACATGCATTGAAATGCTTGGACGTAGGTAGTAGTATAATTGCTCTTTAAAGAGCAATGGAAAATCTATCAATTATGTCTTGAATGGAAGTGAATCAGCGGCTTGAGTATTTGATCCCCAAACTAGGATGATAGTTTGTTTGTCCTGTTTCTCTTCTGGCTTAATCATGTAGCCGAGGTAGTACCGATAGGTATGGATAAGGATAACTTCTTAGAATATCCTCGCTTTTTGGACGTAGGTAGTAGTATAATTGCTCTTTAAATGAGCAATGGAAAAATCTATCAATTATGTCTTGAATGGAAGTGAATCAGCGGCTTGAGTATTTGATCCCCAAACTAGGATGATAGTTTTGTTTGTCCTGTTTCTCTTCTGGCTTAAGTCATGTAGCCGAGGTAGTACCGATAGGTATGGATAAGGATAACTTCTTAGAATATCCTCGCTTTTCATGATGTCTATATTCGTATGTTATTTGTTACATATTCAGGGCTTAAATAAAATCAACTCTTGTAGTATCGATGCTGGAAGTCTACAGTTCTTGCGGTTGTATTATAGTTTCTGGTCCCTGATCCATATTTTGAAGCTAAGTTTTTTTGGATGCTATGACTTAGGTTCTGATGAGGTATATGCTTGGGTTGTTGCAAACTATGTCCTTGGTACTCTTGGAGGTAATCCTCTACGTACAACTGGAATTATTGAACTTGGTGGGGCATCTGCTCAGGTTCGTTTGTCCTTGATTCAAGATTATTTAGTTGAAATCTTCTCTTTATTGTTTTGGGGACAGTTGAATTGAATTCTACACCCCATAATTGCAAGTCATCGAGCTTATAATTAGTGACATC